GCGTACACAAATAAACAAAAGCCATAATCATCTGGGCCAAAGTACACAACATGTGTAATGTAGGACCACCACTTCCAGGAACCGCCCCAGACGCCAGAGTCCACCCATGTGTGCCTTCCTCCTCCCCCACACGCGTGCTCTTGTATCTAACCCAGTCTACAAGTTGCTCCATCCACACCTCGCGCCCACCTCTTACATTCCTGCAACCCACAAGTCAAACAATGTCAACTAACAACATGTGACGATTCACAAGTAGGCGGTGCTAGATCTGCCCCATTCAAATCAACAACCGCTATCCCCCCCCCCATACAATACTATTACCCAACTATTATTAATAGTTGTTTAGTAAAACTAAAGCGGTTTAATAGTGACGTTTAATATGTACAGGACTATCTGTCCAGCATTTGGTGTTGCTTGTGTTTGTAAGTTTCTGGTTAAGCAAAACGGTTGCATTTCTTACGGAGTAGAACATTCAGAGGACGGCCTTGCCAGTAACTTGCCTTGCAGCTAATCTCGTTCATTCCTCCCGACTTTGGTAAATACTAACAACAAAATCCCAGAAGTCATAATAAAACAAGTTACTGAAACAGTATATGGCAAATTATGGAGGTGTCTCTCCCTGCCTCTTCCCAGCAGCGCTCCCAGGCTGAGCCTTGGGTGCCCAGTCTGGGAGCCGCAGCACTAAGGAAATACAGGTCACACAAGTCTTGATCAGAACCCAGCGAGCGATCGCGCCCTCTCCTCCACCACTTCCTCTCACAGTGATCAGGCTCCACCACGGACCCTGGAAGCGTCCTCATTTCCTGTGATTATTTGTTTAGTCCTGCTTGCTTGATACCCGCTTGATGGGGTTCTGGGAGTTGTTCTACTCCCCAAGCCCGGCCCGAGGCCAGGCTTGACTTGTGAGAGCTTGGTCCACCAGGCTGTTGCTTGGAGCGGTCACTTCCTCTTAGTTTGTATACCAGATATTACCTGCCTTTGCTGAAGAGTGCTGGCTAAGTTAACACCACAGCAGGAACACCCTTCCATGTTATATTATTTTAGTTATTAAACAATGTTGTGGAATATGCACATGGGAAAGTTCAATGCAAGCGCTGGAGATGGAGTAGTTAAGCTTCACACGTCAAGTGTTGAGCAGCATACTAAAGTGGCCAAGTTAGGCTTTAATGGAGGAAGCTGTGAGCGTGCTCTCAGCTACCTGCCCCCGACAGGAGCAACACTGCACGCTAGCCTCTGCACATTAAACTACACAACTCAATTTACATAGTACGAGCTCCACCTCCTGGAGACTTGCTCCATAACCACTAATAGACTGGTACGATCACTCCCTGGTCTCGTAGGCTTGTCCTACTGGAATCTGTGCAAGGCGTTAAACGTTACAAATGCCACCTACTATTTACCAGTAACGACTGGTATTACGATGTCATAGATTCAGCTACTCGGAACAAGTTCCAAGTAGCACGGGCTATGGTGAGCCCGTATAACGACTGGTAAATATCTACGTTTTATATGCAACGGACGACAGGTTAGGTGGGTTGTTTGGGTTCGTATGTTTGTGATTAGGTTAGTAGGTTGGATTTTTGAGTGGCAAATTAGGAGAACGGGCTGCAATGTTGCTTGTGCGGTCCTCTCTCTCCTTGCCTCCACACCTGAGAAACTAAATTGCTTATATTTAAGTAATCCAAATATTTATCTTTCATTAGCCTCCCCCTAATCCTCGAGTCAACTCTCTGCCTGCCTCCTTGATGGAGATAACTAATACCAAACATCTCTCTTCTGAAATAGTCTCTACTTTAACATATTTCATACACCTCGCCTCATAGCTGCTGGTTGACGGAGCAGCGCGAAGGAGAGCCCAGTAAGGTTGGCTGGGAAGTTGATGTTTGCCGTAAAGGGTGAAGGTGGCGTGGGAAGGTGGTGGGTTGGAGGCTCTGGGCCACGTACACGGTCACGTCCGCCGCCCCTCCTCTCACTACTCCCGTTGTCCAACCACGGACATCTTCACAAGCAACAACCACATAATAACACCGTGTCTTACTGTGTGCTCTACTGGCACAACGAGGTGCAGAATAAACACCAAGGACCCCCACCCTCCCCACACTGTACTCATTTGAGCGTATGCGAGACACATAATTTACACCTGGAAAATATTAATTAAAGAGTGATTAGTTCCAACTCTGTAAACACAAACCCTTCCGAGATCAGGAGATATGGTAGAATGTGCAAAATACCACAATGAAAAATAGGGGGTACAATAGGAACTCTTAAGAGAAAATTCTATCAACATTCAAGGCCAAAGACTTAACCCCCCCCTCTCACTGAAAACAAAAAATGGTGTTTTGGAAGAGTTTAAAATTCTCAACTAGCCGACCCCTCCCAACACTGAAGACGAAATTTGATATATTGTACTTCTCCAAAGGACCTGATCAACCGGGTCACACTCTTCAAGGTCACCCTTTCCCCCAAAACGCAATAATCGTAATCAATTACAACATTGTATAAGAGTGCTCGCACACGGCACCTGTGGTGTGCTGCTCTTCCAGTAACACAACTTGCTCAATTCACAAAACACGTTGACACCTATAAACCCCTTGGTCTGACTCATTCTGTTGGGGAGCATTAACAAGTTATTACCAGCTTTGGTTAAGAAACTTTATATATTCTATTGAACAGTGTTGTCTGGACAGCCAACTACATCGACCCATCAGTGCTGCTCCGCCCGTCGTTGACAAGCAGAGCTCCATCAGAGAAAGTGCGTCTGATTGGAACCTTTCCACTGAGGCCCATTGGATGGGACAGGGGGAGGGGGGGGAGTAGCCTGCATGATAAGTAAATCAAATTATAAAACGAGTTCACTGCAAACTTAAATTGCTTAGCTTAGAGACTGTACTTGATCATTTTTTAACCTATTATTGATACATTAAACTGTAACTAGCTCATCAAAAACTTGCTTACCTAAATGAATTTTGGTGTTCAGTTCCAGATCCCATTATGTGCCTCAAACCGTTTACACTGAGGAACCAATAGTATGCAGTGCCAGCTAAGGTAACAACGTTACACTACCCACTAACCACCCACACACACTTAAGTAAACACAGGGACATCACTGAGAGCCAGACACGCAACAGAGTCCGAGATATAAAGAAGTTCTCTGTCCACGTACGGGAGGTCGGCAAGTGGAATTAAAGCACCTCAGTATTGACGCTTACCAGGACTAATGAGAATCTACTTGATAGGTTTGGTGGGCTAGGTTCGTATGGTTATAGTTAAGACTTGTTCACACGATTTATAAAACACGTATATTTTAAGCGCATTTGACTAACCAAACGCTTAGGAATCTAAACACACCCACCTACTTACTCTGTTGAGACGGATATCGTTTAGTCTATTAATACACACAATTGTCTTTGCTTAAATTCCACTAAAGCACTTCAATCTGGACGTTGCATGTCAGTAGCGCCTAAATTGAGATGCACAAAGTGTGAGGGCAAGTTAAATTGTTAGACAAAAACAACTTTAAGATTCTACTTCTGAGTTATCCCCTGCAGCACACACCTCAAGTATGCGTTTTCTCTCATTGCATTATACTATCCATTTTCTATTCCATGTGTGCCATGTTTGGGACAACTATGACAACTCGCCAACACTTATTATTTATAATTAATAATTATAATAAACAATTTCATTGTGTCGGGGGTTAGGCAGCCCCTTTATACTTTAAAATAATCTCTAAGACAAAGGTTCTCTTGCCAGTTTACGAATAAACTATTACTGGAACAGTAATATGCTTTCAGACCATCACAAATATCTAGACATCTCTCGAGGTGGTTTGAATGGGGTCGTGGTTTCTCATGGGTAATGGATTTATTCAGAGGACAGGCTGGGGAGATGAGGGGAAGGGGAGGGAGAACATGCACCCAGGCATACAATGGTTGGTACAAAGTCCATTCAAGTGAACAATGTGGAACAATTCATCCTGAGGCGTTGTTAAATATATCTCCAAGTATAGATCAGCTACCGAAGGTTGAGGACCTCAAAAACATCTATGCCTCAGAACAAGGGCATGGCTCAAAGACGACAAAACCCCACTCTGAATATAACTAATGGGCAATACACTAAAGAATGGGCACCCAGTCACTAAGGTTAGAGATGCGTATCACACCTTAATTTTGCTTATAGCCGCCGTATAAATCCCCACCTATTTTAAAAGAGATATTTTGTGGAAAACACAATTTGCGTAAGTTTCTTCCTACATTTATTGAAAGTGATGCTCAAGTGGTTTCGTAGGGAAAATTATTTGGTGCATGTAAATATAATATATATTTGATTAGTGGTGGATGAAAAGCACGCGTCCTCTCCGCCAACAAAAACGATAATTTTGCTCAAATGATAACGTTTCAGCTGAAAATAAGCCTTACAACACAAAGCCTACTGTAATAAACCTGCCACTGTGTGTAGAAGCTTTCACAGTAAAGGTCGAGAATGGTGCAATAACGCTGACATGGTGATTAGTGAGCATTAATGGTATATGAACACCCTCCCATGAGCTACAGCCGGCACCAAGTGGCAACTGGCCTGGAGATCCGTCCCATATCAGTGACGTCACCATACAGGAATGGACCGTCAGGTCACCAGTATAATATGACTAACGTGTTTACCTAGTGTCCCGCCGGGTTTATCATCACGTTAATGCTTGCTTCATTACCGAGATATCATCACAAGGCCACCTCAAAAGCAAATAATGAAGCCCAATACATTAACTAGGTCTTACTAACACCAATGATCAACAAGACTCATCTTTGTGTTCACACAGCACTTCAAAGGACACTTCCCCCTTCGAGGATGATCCAAGTCCACTACGGGCTCACACCATAGCCCGTGCTACTTGGAACTCTCTGTTCCGGGTTGCTGAATCTAAAACAACAAGATCGTGGCATGGGGCCTCACCTAGAGCAATGGTAGACCCTCCATGGTAGCCCAAGAACGCAGCGAGTACTTACCGGAGGCAGGATCCACATTGGCGTAGAGGGTGTGAGTAGGTGGGTAGGCAGCGCCGTTGGTACTCATGTTGGCGTATGTAGGGGTGGCTTGGGCCTGTGTGGGCGGAGGTTGAGAGGGAAGGGGCGGAGGCGGCGACTGGTCCTCGCTGTAGGCGTGTTGCTGCTGTGGCCGCGGGGAGTTGTTGTAGATAGGCTGGGAGGCCGTGTTGGAGTAGAGGGGCTGTGCGCTCATGGGCACCGCCACGCGGGAGGTGGGAGTGTAACTGTGGGCGGGCTGGGGCGGGGGCGGGATGTAGTTGATGCTGCCGCCCATGCCGCCCGTGGGCACTTGGCCAGTGCTGCTCGTGTATACGGCGCCAGGGATCACGATGCCGCTGAACTCCTGCCCTGGTAAGGAAGCCGGTATGTCCCGACCCCCACCACTTGTATAGGCATGGTTGATGCGGGCTGACGCTACGCCCACAGTGCCCGGGGCAGGGGCGTTCACTGCATAATAGTCCTCAACGCCCCCGTGACACACAGAATGGACCACGCCCACGTTCCCGTACATTGCCTGCCCACTACTCTCATCTTCCTGGGAGGAGAACACACATTAGTAGTTGTTTTATATATAAACACATTATTAGGCACCCTTACGGAGTAACCCGATAGTGAAACTTAATAATCCAAGCGTTAATGGGATAACACTCAATACACGTGATAGGTGACCACCTCCTGGCCTCCCTTAACAACCGCGCTCACAACTCTTCCCCCCCCACACACACACACACACCACAATCTTTCCTCCAGCTTATCACCGAGCCAGAAGTGGTAATCACCTAGCTGTACTTACCTTACTGTACTTGCGGGTTCCAGCCCCCTCAATCCTTGATCGACTAGTGTAACGATGCCAAAACACGTAGTAACTGTCCACCTACCGAAACCCGATGATCCTGGTAATTACAGGCGTAATAGTCTCTTATCGTGCACGATGCTAAAGGGACCATGCTAAACAACCCGTCCCATCTCGACTAGGATGAGGGGTCGACACATTTGTTAAAAGGACAGAGCACAGCTAATTATAGTTAATAGTACAGCTCATTTCGATCCCATATGAGCTTGCGTGTATTTGTGCCAAGGAAAGACACTTTAAATGGATTGAAGACCATCTCACAAAGAAAAACCAAGGTCTGTTCGATGGATCGGCTTCGAGAACAATGAAGCTGGTGCTTACACCCCAGCAAGGTGGTGTACTACGTCCCACACTATTAATCGTAAATACCAATGTCGAATTTCTGGAAGGAGCAGAAATGGGATACAGATAATATATCCCGATACAAGTCCTCGACTTTGGGCAGATTAAACTGTCTCATTCGACTTTTTGGTAGGAAATGTACTGAACACTCACTCCCCACAAAGCATACTACCATCACAAAAACTAAGACCTGCAACGTTCACCTTCAACCCTTAGTTTAGTTAAGATCCTCCCCATCGGGAGTACTACAGTCTGACAAGTTGAGATAACCGGTAATTAACAAACACAACCCAATATGCTTGAGAATAAACAACAGTATGCCAGCGTTGTACTGGACGTATACAGCACATATTTGTGCACATGTATACATTTATCTACTGAATTATTTGTGATTAAATTTAAAGCTGTATTGTTACTTTTCACTATTAAAAACCCATTCCACTATTAACCCTATTCCTTACTACTGTTAACTCACATTCAGTAATATTTCCCCACTCTTATGCTGTAGCTCTTTCTGAAGCTTGCTCGTCTCTTGTTCACATTCAGGCTTCGTTTTTTGTTCCTCACTATGAACACCTCTCCTCTCCCAATTTTCCTTCTAACCCTATCCATCGTTATATCCTTCCCTCCCATCCCGTTCCGTTCCTTCGTCTCGTTCCTCTTTTCCCTCACACTTCCCCCTCCCACCCCATCTCTCTAGTTGGACGAGGTAAAGTCGCCTTAACCTTTAGTTAACCACCACCTTAACCTAGTGGTTTGGTTGTCTGGGCTCAGCATAAACCTTGTAGCAATACTCTGGACCTTGTTTAATGACATTTGGTGACGTTTCCAGTAGTAAGTTCCCACCGGGGGCCGTGCTGCTTGTAGTCAAGGGGTGACCGGGTGGAGGCGAGTGATGGGAGGAGAGGTGTGGGCGTCACCAGTGATGGTAAAACACGTCCTCCAGGCTGAGTGTGGCGCCCACCCGCCACCCTTCACTACAAATCCCCTCTATGCATCCTCCATATACCCCTCTTCCTCCTCCTATCATCAGAATATTCTTACCTTTTCTCTGCCTTCTCTCCAGTTCTTCTCTTTCCACTCATCTTTCACGGACAGTATTAGTATTCTCTCCTCTCAACTGCCAACGTCTCCCCCCCCCCAGCCTCCATCTACTCCAGACTTATCAGGTTACATAATACGGGATTTCTGTTTTGTAATGGAATAAATGCACTTGCCTACCAGTGACTACGGGGAAGTAAGGGCTAGCTATTTATGCTCCGCCTATTAGCGTTGTTGTACCTGTTGCCTTATAACTGAACTATTATGACGTTCGAATTCTTTATAGAATATGGTCTTCAAGTTGTGAATGGCTTCATTATATGTACACTTGTGGGTTCTTGTTCCTGTGCGCTTACATATGCGCATTTAAGGTGGGTTGTAGGGGTTAAACTTCGCTTTTGGAACCCATCTCGCAACTTTCAATCTATTGGTGTACTTTTTTCTGAACCCCTGACACCTAAGACGTCTTTATATCCGTGTGGTTTCTTTGGGTACTCAAGTTTCTATTCGCGTACCTGCATAATTGTGCCTGCTAGACAGAGCATCAGTTCTTGGGTCCCGCCTTTCCAACTGTTGGGCAATATTACTCTAAATGTGAAAGTTCTCGTAATCCATGCTATATTTTTTAAGACTGACGTGTTATTCGTTTGGTTATGCTCCCCTCAACGTTAGGTCTTCAGACATCATTATTCCCAGATCATTTACATGTTGCTTTCCTACTATGAGCAGGTTTGATTGTTTTGTACTCTAAGCTCCTCATTTTTATCGTACCTGAATACCTGGAATGTGTGTGTTAAATATCGTGTTATTTTCTGCTACCTGCTTGTAGTTTTTCAATGTCTTCAGCAGAGGTAATTGTCATGCTGATTGTGTCATCTGCGAGGGTTGATACGAGGCTGCGACTTGTGAGAGTGTCGGCACAAAATAAATGACTAGTGAAGACATTTTCTAAAGCGTGATTGAGATAGTGTTGAGGAGTCCTTCAAGCTACAGCTGCCCCCAATTCCCAGACCAGCTGTGGCAAGTTGGCGTCTCACTTAACATTGCCATTTACACTTCATTTTGAAATTCTGAAATTAAAACGTGCATAGTATATAATGTGCTAGATTGTAACCTCATGAAATATATAGATATTTAAATCATTTACATTGTCTTACGTTTAATTGTTTTGTAAGTCATTGTCGTTTTACGTTTGAATTGTCAATTGTAAGTCGTATAATTTAATTGTCTTACGTATGACCCATTGTCCTGTGTGACAGTGCATGAACAACACTCACTGTAATGAGACCAAATTTAATTACTCCCGATAAACAAAACTTTATTAATGGTCAATAAAGATAATAATAATAATGAGACTACGTCGAGCAGAGGTAGGCCACGCCCCACTACCTCTCGTGCTAGTACTGACCACCATCCGCCTGCAATGACGGAGGAGATGGGAAAGAAGAGGTGGGAAGGAAGGGATGGAGAGAAGGGGGAGGGAGGGGGAGAGGGAGGAAGAAGGCGGGGGGGGAGGGGGGGGGGACTGGAGGCAGCAGCCCGGGGCAAGGCCGCACAACACATCCCACACAGCCCTCCCCGCCACACTTTCACCAGTGGGATCGCAAAGCTAACTCAATGTAACCACTAAATACATCAAGAGAGATAACTAGTAGATCATATAGAAGCATCTCCCGTAGTAGGACGATTCTTACCAAAAACTTTGCTACAGTTTCTTTCCAAACTACGTCGACAATTCATACCCCCAAATACTCAGATTTGTGCCAATTAGATGCCAGAATCATAAAAAATGTTTTTAACCTACTTTTTCCCACAATTTAGCTTGAACCTACTACGTCTTATTCTTATCCTCTCCATTAAAGACAATACCACCGAGATATTTCCCATCAATCATCAATACACATCATTGAGTACACATCAATGGCAGTTGACAGCTGGCCTATTCCGTTTCAAATAGTGAGGAAGGATTGCAAAACTCTTCCAATATTCAGTGAAGATTTAAGGATGCCTCCAGTTACGAATATCGCAACATATATGAGTAACCAATGAAACAAACATAACCAACCAAGAGAAACTCAAAGAAACAAATCTTTGGATGATAATGAACACCCCGGTCCCGGACCCATGGATTATTTTGAAAGACCGGCGAGAGCCTAGTCATGGACGATTGAGCCCACTGGAGCTCGAGCGACTGAGCTCAAGTATATATAGAATTGAGGGTCTCTATATATACACTTGGTGAATATGCGAGTTGTTGCATAGTGAACCACGGGCTAAAAGTATACAAACTACAACAGTAGGAAATTATCAGTAAATTACACAATGAAAATTGCAAGATAACGTAAGCTTTTAAGGATTGATAGATGTTAATCTTCTTGTTTGAGGAGCTGTTCACTTGAGACAGTTAAGCAAGTCCCAGCTGTGTCTGGGTACAAGTGACAGGATGAACAACCCAGCGGGTTTTCTTCCTATTGGGGAGTGTTGTACATGCTGCTATGGCGGTGTATCCACTCATAAGATGAGTTGCGCTGCCCAATAAACTCGCCCTTCGGGGCAAAATTAAAGTGTCCCCGCGGACCGGGCCGCGGGGACACTAAGCCCCGAAATCATCAAGATAACCTCAAGATAGCCTCGAGCCTGGGGAGCCGTAGCATGGTGTTAGCGCCAGCAGATACCAGGTATCTTATCTCCTCTGGTTGGCTGTCTCAGTCTACCACAACTCCACGCCCCCTCACCCCCCCACTTATATTATTACATTAATGTAGATTGTGCATATTTATCGTCAATGTGTATGGCAAGAGCAGGCAGTTTTTTCCGACTTGTCATTACGTCAAAAATTCAACCTACTAACATAACCAGAAACGCACGAACCCAAACAACCTACCTACCTATCTAGTCCGATGCGTTTTAATATTTAGATATTTGCGAGGCGTTATTTTTCCATAGGTTGCAATTGTAACGTTGGTTACCATAAGGTAAATAAAACGCGACCTATTAGTTGAGATGATGGTTTGGGGGATTGGCGCCTTGCTCAGCGCGCGCGCACACAGTGGTTGGGAGATGGAATGCATTAGGCAGTGATGTGGTGGAGGCTGACTCCAAGTGTAGATATGATAGAGCCCAGTAGGCTCAGAAACCTGTACACCAGTCGAGAGGCGGGACCAAAGAGCCAGAGCTCAACCCCCGCAAGCACAACTAGTGAGTACACACACACCCCTTCACCAGTTTTACTTACACTTGGGTAGTTATAATGTGCGGAAAGGGGGGGGGGGGGAAGGGGGTGGAATAAGAGGTTTAAC